GAGTGAGTATTACAATCGGCCCATTCGGGAGTATCAATCGCGAACTTTTCAAAATTGTAAGTTGTTCAATCTACTAGAATTTCCAGGGAATAAAAATGTGTAATTCTTTTTAATTCTTAGATTACAAACAAAGTCTACTCTTTCGTAATGTTTTTGTTGAATTTCGCTGTCTAATTTTGAAAATTTTATTTAACGTGTCAGCGAACCCGTTGAATTGATTGTAACACAAATTAATTATTATATACGCTTATTATACACGATGTAATAAGCTCAACTGGTAACACTTGCAATTCGTTGATGGTTTGAACTATTTAGGACATGCAAGAATTTTAAAATAAGACTGCTGTTCGTCTTTTTTAATAACCTTGGGAAATTTATCGTAATTACGATAAAGTTAACAGGATCGGTATTTAAAAAGCTCCGTATTGTTCATACCAGTACTGAATCGCTGGCTTTTTTAAAGTGTTTGCAAAATTATAACTTGAATACTTTTATCAAAGAAGGGAACTTAGACCTGTCGCACGCAAAGCGGAGTTGTACTGAGTGGATTGAAAAGTCGGGTACTTTTTGAATGAAAACACATTTTTTTCGCAAAATTTCATTTTACTTCTCAATATAGGCTCCTTTTAGGTCGATACAGCGAGCTCAACGATCTTCCAACTTTTGGATGCCTGCTAAATAGTACCATTTGTCCAATGTCTCAAAATAGCTATCTGTTTCGAACTCGACTTCTTCATTATTGTAAAAACGCCTTCCACAAACCATCTTTTGAGGTTTGGGAACAGGTAGTAATCACTGGGGGCCAAGTCAGAAGAATACGGCGGGTACGGAAGCAATTCGAGGCCTAACTCGTGCTTTTTAGCCATTGCAACCATCGATGTGTGCAACGGTGCATTATCGTCCAAAAAGTATTATTTTCGAGACAAATTTTTATATCTAAAGAGATATCTTTTCATCTTTTACCATAGGTTCTGACATGGCATAATTTAAGGAAATTTCAGAACTACCCGAAGTTTGCCAAATTTGCGGGGGCTTGAAAAGAGCAATTATTTAAATTAAATATATAAAAAGAGTTACATTCGTGATGCCGTACTTTTTCGCACTGTAATTTTTTTCATTGCTTTGAACGAAAAAACATATTTTCAGTGAAAAATCGGTTAAAATTCTAGTCGAATTTTCGAAAATTTCGTATAGAAGTTACCTGTAAATTGGTTCCGATTAGCTTCAATCTTTCTGATATTTTGTTTTTGGCAAAAAAAAATGGATGTACAGTTACCTCCTATACAAAAATGTTTTCAAAGAAATTTCGACAAAAAATGCATAGCTGCGCAACAGGTACACTCTGTGGTCACGTTTGACGTTTATTTTGCCATGTTTTTATTTTTTACAACAACAAATCACACACATTCTGTGTAGTTCGGTACACTGTACATAGAAATTCCAGATGGCGCCAGTTGTATTAAATCGCTAGTTGTGCAGCTATGAAAAGTTGAGACCTAAAAACTAAACTCGCGCATACGCG